GGACAAAAGGGGGACACCGAAAAGACACCAAGGGGGGACACCGAAATGTATATCCAGGATCTCCTTTACTTCAGGATCTCCCAGGTTTTTGGTTTTTGAGGGTTTAAAGTGAAAGACGAAATCTTTCGTATTCATTTCTGATTAGATTTCATCTGCATATTCTTAGAACTTTTCTAAAAAAGTTCTAAAAGATAAAATTATTAAAAAAAGATTATGGAACTTGCTCCCAAACGACATACGAGAAATTCAGTCGCTTTTCATATTCAAGAAACGTATCGATGCTTTAGATCTAGTGGCTCTTTGCCGGAAGTAATTGGCTTATTGATTTCAGTATGTATTGTATTGGGTTGATGCATAATTATCCGGACTTCTTTTTGCGTGCTTGTATCTTTTTTGTTTTGAAAGCTTTTTGTCTATTTCTTTTTTTAAAATATTCGTTATTCTTTAGTGAACAAAATGCGTGTCGACAATCATATCCATCTTCGCCATATCATGCTCTACCACTTCGAAAAGGGATGGTCTGCCGCAGAGTCGTTTCGCGATCTCAAAGAACTGGAGAAGCCCCAACGGACTACCACGTCAATCGATCGCTCAAAAATTGGCAAACAAATAAGATCTACAACGATTTGGATGACTTGATAGACGATGTTAAAGCGTGGATTGCCTCCAAAGATCGTTTATTCTTCGCTCGTGGAATCGATCGTCTTCCAAGCAAATGGCAATCAGTTATTGATGTAGGCGGTGAATATGCTCCAGAATAATCAATTAAACATATTTTTCTAACTATTTATGTTATTTTTTGTTAAATAAAATCATTTATAAAAGAAGTCCGGATAATTATGCATCAACCCAATATGATTAAGTATCACTGTGCATTTCTCTATGATTTCTTTCACTTTATCGTTTGAATAAAGTATTATTATAAAAGCTTTTCTAAAAGATCTAAAAGTAATTTGGGAGATCACCGTAAACTTTCCTTCAAGTTTTCCCCTTTCTATTACTTTATTTTGATTACATTTGCTTTAAAGCATTGCTTTAAAGCATTGCTTTATGCTTTATTTTGATTGCATTTGCTTTAAAGCTTGATTTCTTGTTTAATCAAATCGAATTCATTGTAAATTGGACAAGAAAAAGAAGGACAAAATCAGGAGAACAAAATGACGGTAGTCTTTCAATCTTCCCATGCTTTAGAAAACGTATTGCTAACGAGGAACTAGAAATGAGCGTTAAAAACCACAAAGACTGACTACAAAGCATTGTAAAAACGCGTAGAATCGATATTTTGAAAAAGTTTTTTCAACAAAAAATCCAGAGCCAACTTTCGGGCTTTCGAATGACACAAAAATCAAGCCAAGTAATGTTTTGAGCACTGAGATATATAGCTTTTTGCGTTTGTAGTTTGGAAAGGACTACAAACGGCTATAAATGCCTCGTTCTCGGAGTACAAATCGTGGATTTTCTTGGTTTTATTTTCATTCGAAAGCCTATTGTTTGCGGAATTTTTTGGTAAAAAAAGTTTTTTAAAATATTGATTCTACGCAGCTCTACAATGGTTTGTAGTCTGAACTTGTAGTTTGTAAGGCTGATTTCTACTTTTTAAGCACTATTTCTGGCTTTCGCTTTCTTTTCCACTAACAATTTCGGCACACTAACCCTTGCCAATCAATCGCTCGGCAAAGGGAATTGAGTACACCAGAAAGGGTACGTTTTTGGCTAGTTTATAAAGCTGATTTCGACTTTGTAAGCACCATTTCTGGCACACTAACCCTTTCGAGTCAATTGTTGGGCAAAGGGAATTGAGTACACCAGAAAGGCTACGTTTTTGGCTAGTTCTGGCTAGCTAGGCTGACTTCTAGTTCCTCGTTAGTAATACGTTTTCTAAAACATTGGAAGATTGAAAGACTAGCGTAATTTTGTTTTCCTTGTAGCTACCGTAAATACTGTAATAGTACCCCAGCCCCATAATGACGGTGCGGAGTCTTGCGTAGCTCTAGCTTTGAACGAGTGTTTCTCGACACTGGCTTATGCTACAATGCTCGCTTAGGTATCAAAAAATAGCTGAGATTCAGGGCTATTTTTTGATACCAAAGGCGACTCATAAATGATCCATCGACGACCAGTTTTGTGATCTGAGAAAATGGAAAAAAAGAGCTGTCTAGATTCATTGAGTGGAATAAAATTGGATAACTGTTACTGGATAAAACTAGTTGAATAGGTGAATAACTAACTGGATAGACTAACTAGTTACTGGATAAATAACTAACTGAATAACTACCGTAAATACTGTAATAGTACCCCACCTCCATAATGACGGTGCGAAGTCTTGCGTAGCTCTAGCTTTGAACGAGTTTTTCTCGACACTGGTTTATGCTACAATGCTCGTTTAGGTATCAAAAAATAGCTGAGATTCAGGGCTATTTTTTGATACCAAAGTGCGCATTGTAGCATAAAGTAGCGCAGAGAATGGGATGTTTAAAGTTAGACTACGCAACCATCCCGAAAAAACGCGTTTTTCTCGACACTGGCTTATGCTACAATGCTTGTTTAGGTATCAAAAAATAGCTGAAATTCAGGGCTATTTTTTGATACCAAAGACGCATTTTTTGAAAGTACGGGCGCTTTGAAAAAAATGAAATACTAAAAACTACGCGACTACGCGATTACGCGACTGTACGAGGGAGGTGGGGTACTATTAGAGTATTTACGGTAGTAGTTTTTGTAGAGTTCATGTCTAGAAACGCTAACTCACAAGGGTTATAAGCGCAGAAGTAGTTTACGGATAGTTGCACAGGCCACGAGGTATATTTGATTGCCAGTTTGGTTTCAATCTAGAGAAATTGAATGATCCCGACTAGGAGAGAAGAGGAATTCTCTTGCGTTGCAGCCATTCCTGTGTGCAACTATCCGTAAATCAAAGCGCCATCAAAAATCAAACAAACTGTGGTAGAGGTTATCAATTTCTGGTCTGTCGTGGCCCAGGTCGTGGCCCAGGCCTCTGTCCCGTAGCAGAGCGCCGGGAGGACGGTGTTGTCAAAATTTTGTAGGGGAATCACAGAAAACAAACTTTGAACGAATAAGTTGACTTACCAGAGAGGGAACAGATTTCGTGGTGGCCGAGTGGCAGTGGGTTTGTACGAATTTGAAGCAAGGGTTCGAGTCCGACGAGCTCGAATTTAAAGTCTGTTCCGACGAGCTCGAATCCTAGGAGAGAAGAGGAATTCCTCTTCTCTCCTCGAATCCTTTGACTCCGGCGTCTTGCTTTTGCTTTTGCTTCTTTTAACTTTGAATGGTTTGAGTGTTTTTGGTGATGTTGGATGCTCATCATTGATTGGATCTGCCAGAGAAACGGTGTGCCAGATGCTGTACGATTGTGGTGCGGATTGTACGACGAAAATAAAGCCTAAAGAAACTCTCTTTGTTGGCTGTTGTCTGTTGGTTCGAAAGCTAAAAGAAGCAAAAACAAAAGGCAGATGCCGGACTCGAACCCTAGAGGTTTTGGCTGGAATTGAAGCCGACTGCCACTCAACCACCACGACAGCTTTTCCTCTCTGGTAAGTCAAGTTATAAGCTGCCTGTTTTCTGCGATTGCAACTTTGAGTGGCAACTTTGAGTGCAGATAACTTTTGACAGAGTGCTGCATTTCAAAAACGGAAAGCAGATTCAGAATGAGCGCAAAATTCTACGTCAGTTAGTATGGTCACGAAATCGGTGTTCCATTTGCTGTACGATTGTGGACGCAAATAAAGCTTTGATTGGCTGTTGGCTGTTGATTGGCTATTGATTGGCTGTTGATTGGTTGTTGATTGGTTGTTGATTAGCTGTTGATTGGCTATTGATTGGCTGTTGATTAGCTGTTGATTAGCTGTTGATTGGCTATTGATTGGCTATTGATTGGTTGTTGATTGGCTGTTTTCTGTTGCTGTGCTAGTTGAAATTCTCTTGTCGCTGACAAACGCTGACAATAGTATGAGCAAATCTCTCCTACAATTCTCTTTTTACTTGTTTTCCCTTTTCTCTCAAATCCCCAAAGATATTTACGTGGAATTGTTGATGAGGTAATCAAAAGGAATAATTTCATGCTTTTTCCATTAGTAAATGATCAAAATATGTGCATTCATTGCAGAGAAAAGGCTATTTTTATATTATTTTGTTTTGATTGGGTTTAGTTGGCTTATTTCTAGCTTCATTTAGCTCCATGTAGCACAAATTATCATCATTTCAAAGGCTCAGCTCTCAAATTCTGAAGTTCTTTAGCTAGCTTCTTTCGCTAGCTTCTTTCGCTAGCTTCTTTCGCTAGCTTCTTTCGCTAGCTTCTTTAGCTTCGTTCTTTAGCTCTAGCTTTAGCTCTAGCTTTAGCTCTAGCTTTAGCTCTAGCTTTAGCTCTAGCTTTAGCTCTAGCTTTAGCTCTAGCTTTAGCTCTAGCTTTAGCTCTAGCTTTAGCTCTAGCTTTAGCTCTAGCTTTAGTTCTAGCTTTAGCTCTTGAATTCTTTCTTTCTTTCTTTCTTCTTACTAACATTTTTATCGTTTAGCATTAAGAAAATGTTAATTCTCTTTAGAAATTAAAGGATTTCTCTAATGAAATCCATCTTTTTTCTCTTTTTTCCTTGAATTTCATTAATGATTTACGTTTTTTTGTCGAAATTTTCGTTCCCAAATGAAATTGAATAGAATTTCAATTCAATTAGCCCTTTTCTTTAGTGCAATTCTTTAGTGAATCTCAAAAATATCAACAAATTCTCTTTCCTTAGCTTTAGAGGATGATGTGAGAAACGGATGTTCTATTCAATGTTGAAGAAAGGAAGACTGAGGAAGGAAGGGAAGGGTGGGAAGAAGAAGAAGAAGAGGGAGAAGAAGGAGAAGAAGAAGAAGAAGAAGAAGAAGAAGGAGAAGAAGAGAAGAGGAGGGAAGAAGAAAGGAAGAAACGAAGGGAAGACTAGAATTTCTCTTGCTTTTATTCTAATCATCCTTTCCCTTTTCACAATCAGACTTTTCTTGATTTAGACCCATGTATAGATTTGAAAAGATTCAAACTTTTGAATACTCTCAGCTTGAAAACCGGGCCGGCTTTCAAGCCCCTTAAAATATAATATAGCCGATACTATATTATATTTTAAGACTTTAAGACTGTTTCTCAGCTGCTTTTTGGCCCGTTTTTGACCCACTTTAAGTCTTTTTCTCAGCTGTTTCTCAGCTGTTCGAGAAAAAGCCCCTACAGACGAATGGACAGACACTGCTCCTGCATATAGTAGACCACCAGCTTCCCAGCAAAAAAAGAAGCGAGAAGCAAAAGCTTTTTTGAAGTGAAAAGCAAAAGAATTGGCGGCGAGAGGAGTCGAACCCGCGATCTCTCTCTTTCGTTCGTTTGAGAGACGCGCGTGTTAACGACTCGGCCATGCTTGGGAGATCGAGTGCTCGGTCACTCGGCCATGTCATAGCGCGAGCGCTCTTGTCTCTAGCCCATACGATTCGGGTTCGACTCCCGCTACCGCAGACAGGCAGGCAGACAGATAGACAAGCAGACAGGCAGACAGGCAGACAAACAGATAGACAGACAAGCACAGACAGGCAGACAAACAGACAAACAGGTAGGCAGACAGACAGGCAGACAAACAGACAGACAGACGGACAGGCAGGCAGGCAGACAGGCAGGCAGACAGGCAGTCAGGCAGGCAGACAGACAGACGGACAGGCAGGCAGGCAGGCAGGCAGACAGACAGGCAGACAGACAGACAGACAGACAAACACAGGCGACGGGACACAGACAGGGACAGGCAGACAGGCAGACAGGCAGACAGGCAGACAGGCAGACAGGCAGACAGGCAGACAGGCAGACAGGCAGACAGGCAGACAGGCAGACAGGCAGACAGGCAGACAGGCAGACAGGCAGACAGGCAGACAGGCAGACAGGCAGACAGGCAGACAGGCAGACAGGCAGACAGGCAGACAGGCAGACAGGCAGACAGGCAGACAAACAGATAGACAGACAGGCAGACAGGCAGACACGCAGACAGGCAGACAGGCAGACAGGCAGACAGGCAGACAGGCAGACAGGCAGACAAACAGATAGACAGACAGGCACAGACAGACGATCCGGGTTCGACTCCCGCTACCGCAGACAGACAGACAGACATCTTTTTAAATAGTAAATCACGAACCGTCATCGATGACATATTCACGATGATCCCTCGATCTTTTTCAATCATTTTTGGCAACACCAATTCGTTCATCTGAATAAGAGATTTGAGTTTGATGAGATTTCGGCTAATACTTATGTATACACATGAACATTTTCCGATTTCTCCGATTTCTCTGAGCAACCAAGCCAATTGTTGGCCAAAACTCGCTGATTTTAGCCTGAAACCAGGCCAAAAACTTCAGCAATAGCTCTTTCTTTCGATTTACTAGCTTTACTTCAATCTTTTTGTAATAAAAGCACTCACTCTGACACAGCTGATCGTGTTCACTTGCATTATCCTGGACGCCAATCCCTCTTCTTGTTCCACCAAATTCCCCACCATTCCCGGGGCCAAACCGGCAAAATTTACTGAAGAAAATGAAACTTTAATTATCTTTTGAAGTCTTTAAACCCGTTTTAAATTATATTCTAGTAAAGTAAACGAAAAAATGACTTAAAACCCTCAATTTTCTTATTGAAAATTGCAGAATTGAAGGTGTTTGGATAGTTTTTTTTTTCGAAAACTTATTCCGACTTATAAAGTTCCAATTTTTGTTGTTTCTTTGTCATTTTCATATTCTTCGCGAACATTCGAACGTACACAAGATTCCGATATCGAGATCTTTCAACTCGTTTGTCAGTTCAGCCCAATCGCCTCCATCAAAATCGAAAATTATCGTTTTCACTTCGCATTTGAAGTCTTTTTCTGAATTTTATAGTTTTATTGATTGATTGAAAAAACAGCTACAAAAAGAGTTTAAAAGCAGATTTTAAGATAGAAATAACCAGTCCCAGTGTACTGGAATGTCCCAGTGTACTGGAATGTCCCAGTGTACTGGAATGACCAGTTCCAGTGTACTGGAATAACCAGTCCCAGTGTACTGGAATGTCCCAGTGTACTGGAATGTCCCAGTGTACTGGAATGTCCCAGTGTACTGGAATGACCAGTTCCAGTGTACTGGAATGACCAGTTCCAGTGTACTGGAATAACCAGTCCCAGGGTACTGGAATAACCAGTCCCAGTGTACTGGAATAACCAGTCCCAGTGTACTGGAATGTCCCGGTGTACTGGAATGACCAGTTCCTTGACTATGACTATTATAACTAGAAATTTAACTATAAAATAATCTCTGATATCATTATCTTCCTCAAACCTACAAAATAATGACTCAATAATGACTCAAACCTACAAAATAATGACGCTTTCCACAAAAAGCTACAAAAAGCTACAAACAGCTACAAAAAGCTACAAAAGGCTACAAAAAGCTCCAAACCTTGGCTACAAAAATGACTAATCACTACAAAATGATGTTTTCTGTTTCCAAAATAATCTCTCTTTTATTTTTAGATTCAAATCTAACGAATGCCCCCAAAACCAAAACAACGAATGCCCCCAAAACAGCCAAACAGCCATTTCCCCTCTTTGCAATTTCAATATTCAAATCCCAATCGTTTCCTTTTCAAATTCAATCTAAATCTAACAATTCAATCAATTCAATCAATTCAATCAAAAAATCAATCTACCAGTGTCAACTTCTTGCTGAATTCAACATCATTATCTAATGCATTCCTCAAACCCTCAGAAATGTCATTGTTGCAATCATTTCCCCTTTTTCTTACTCAATTCTGTCTCAATGATCGTCAATTTCTGAGCATTTCTTCCAATTAAGACAAAGCGTCGAATTCCTCGAGATCGAGCCATTTCCAATGTATACGCTTTTCCAATTCCATCCGTTCCACCAGTCACCACTAAAATTATCTTTTTTTTTTACCTCTTTACCTCTTGTACCTCTTGATAAATGTTGTTAAACGTTTCTTTTTGATTTTAAGCTCTTCTTCTTAAACTAGCTCTTCTTCTAAAACTAGCTCTTCTTCTTAAACTAGCTCTTCTTCTTAAGCTAGCTCTTCTTCTTAAGCTAGCTCTTCTTCTAAAACTAGCTCTTCTTCTTAAACTAGCTCTTCTTCTTCTTAAACTAGCTCTTCTTCTTAAGCTAGCTCTTCTTCTTAAACTAGCTCTTCTTCTTCTTAAACTTAACAGAATCTTAACTTGATTCTTAAGTTAAAAACCGAATCTTAAGTTAAAAAACCGTTTATTTTAAGCTCTTCTTTTTATACAAAAGCCTACAACAAACAGGAAATTGTTTGCTGTATCAATCCTGAAGTATTCAAAAGAATTTTGGTAAAGTCTTGAAATTGGTTGTCTGGATAAGTTTCTTGATCTTTTCATCGGTTTCACGATAGTTCTATTTCACACTTTTTTTGTCTGTGTCTCCTAAACGGTGCTCCTTTATCGGAAAAGTTTCTTTTCTGGGGGTGGGACAAATGCGACCTTTTTTTTGCGGTGGGACAAATGCGACAAATGCGACCTGGACATTTGCGCACCTTTTTTTTACTGGAAAAGACCTTAGGAAAGGTCGTAGAGCTTCAAAAATGTATTCATAGAAGGAAATCGTATGCGTAGATTCCGAATTTCGACAAATCAGACCTCGCTGACACGTCAAATTTGGGCTGAAAGGCAAAAACTACGCAACTTAACGCTTTTCCGCAGTTTTTGCCTTTTAGCCCAAATTTGACATGCCAGCGAGGTGTGATTTGTCGAAATTCGGAATCTACGCATACGATTCGCTTATACGGAAATATTTTCGAAGCTCTACGACCTTTCCTAAGGCCTTTTCCAGCAAAAAAAAGGTGCGCAGATGTCCAGGTGCGCAAAAAAAAGGTCGCACTTGTCCCACCCCCGTTTTTAGATATATAGTAGCTACAAGATCTTTGTTTCTTTTTAGCCCTAGCTAGTATTTCATTCATAACTTTTTCTTTTGCTCAAAAATTCTATTCTATAATGATATCGTTTTATTCCAAAGATCAGTCTATTCATCAAGATTCACCCTTTTCTCATTTCCAATGTCTTTTTGTTATCTAATAGATGTTATTATTCTTATAATGTACCAACTCAGACAAAAAACGAAAATATTTATAGAGTTCTTTCATAAAAACCTTTCAGAAAGATTTTTTATAAAATCCGCGTTTTTTTCTGAATAAAATAGATCTTTATATTAGTATTTTTTTAGTAGAAATCTATGCTTTTTAAAGTTTTGTTTATTTAAAGCGTTTAAAGTTTAAGGTTTAAGGTTTAAAGCGCTTAAAGTTGAGGGTTTAAAGCGCTTAAAGTTGAGGGTTTAAAGCTCTTAAAGTTGAGGGTTTAAAGGGCTTAAAGTTGGAGGTTTAAAGCGCTTAAAGTTGAGAGTTTAAAGCGCTTAAAGTTGGAGGTTTAAAGCGCTTAAAGTTCGAGGTTTAAAGGGCTTAAAGTTGGAGGTTTAAAGCGCTTAAAGTTGAAGGTTTAAAGGGCTTAAAGTTCGAGGTTTAAAGCGCTTAAAGTTGAGAGTTTAAAGCGCTTAAAGTTCGAGGTTTAAAGCGCTTAAAGTTCGAGGTTTAAAGGCGCTTAAATCACTCAAAGACTTTGCAAATGATATGCTTTGTTTGACTCTGATCTCTGATCAATTTCGATCTTTGTGTGAATCTCATCTCTTCATGAATCTCTCCATGAACCTCTTCATGAACCTCTTCATGAATCTCTTGAATCTCTTCATGAATCTCTCCATGAAACTCTCTTGATGAACCTCTTCATGAATCTCTTGAATCTCTTCATGAATCTCTTCATGAATCTCTTCAATCTCTCCATGAATCTCTCCATGAACCTCTTCATGAACCTCTTCATGAACCTCTTCATGAATCTCTTGAATCTCTTCATGAATCTCTTCATGAATCTCTTCAATCTCTTCATGAATCTCTCCATGAATCTCTCCATGAAACTCTCTTGATGAACCTCTTCATGAATCTCTTCACAAACCTCTTCAATCAATCATTTCTTCATCTTCCCACCTGTCCATGTGTCTCTCAAATGTGAAATATCCATTTCGGGCATCACTCGATGAACAACAAATGATTTCGAGATGATGTACAAGCATTTCATCACTCGTAATGTCACATAGGCTTTGGCCAGAAATGAGAAATATGAATTGAAGAAAAACCACGTGAAAATACCCTAAATCTTCATAGTTTAACATCTTCATAGTTTAACATCTTCATAGTTTAACGTCTTCATAGATCTCTATATATGAAAACTACTTTTCCAACCCTACTTTTCCAAAATTACCCGACTTTTCCAATCAATTACCCTACTTTTCCAATTAAAATCTTCACAATTTCACCTCACCCCAATGATCAACATTCCTGTGTGTACATATTCGCCTTTTGTCATCAATCGTTGGAGATGAGGGGGAAGACTTTTTTGAATAGTCGAGAATGACATCTAAATAATATATGTAGAAGTAGGTTAAGCTAAAAATAGAAGAAATTTTGATGAAAAGCAAAGCGTTTAAATCAAATTTTGATGAATTTTGATGAAAATCACTTCTTAAAATTTAGCCTTTTCTTCTTCTTCTTCTTCCTCTTCTTCCTCTTCTTCCTCTTCTTCTTCTTCTTCTTCTTCTTCTTCTTCTTCTTCTTCTTCCTCTTCTTCTTCTTCTTCTTCCTTCTTCTTCTTCTTCTTCTTCTTCTTCTTCTTCTTCTTCTTCTTCTTCTTCTTCCTCTTCTTCTTCTTCCTCTTCCTCTTCTTCTTCTTCTTCTTTCTCTTCTTCTTCTTCATCTTTCTCTTCTTCTTCTTCTTTCTCTTCTTCTTCTTCCTCCTCTTCCTCTTCTTCTTTGGAGTGTATCTTTGTATTCAAAAACATAACCCTTCTTGAGCACTCATTTCTTTACTTTTCTGACATCGAGAGCTTATAAAAAGTTAGAAAATTATACTATAAAACTTATAAAAATGCAGAATTTTGTTATAAAGTTATAAATTGTGCCGGAAAAGTTATAAAGTTATAAAGTGTGCCGGAAAGCTTACAAGGGAAGGTCAACGAAATCAGGGTGGCCAATCGAAATGAGGCCTAGACCATCCGATACAGAATTTGACGCTGTTTCCGAATCTGCTTCTCATTTTTGCTAAATAGCTCGGAATCGCAAGGAATTTGGCAAACAAGTTTTTTGACCTCTTATAACGCTTGCGCGCGCATGACAAAGAAATGGTTGTGTAGTTGCCATCTTTGTTAAATCTTTTTGTTTTATATTTATATTATTTGTTGTTGAACACTTATCATATTCTCTCTAATAGTAGTGCACCCAAAGCGTCGCCTAAATTCCTCGAAATCTCGAGAACCGCTCATCAGAACCGATCGATGTGGAGCCGGAAAATGTAGCTGACGATGAGATCTAGTGGGGGATTTGAGTGTTGAGCTTCTGGGAAAAGCTTGGGAACTGTAAAATGGTCGTCAACTCGGCTCGGCGGGAACGAAGAGAGGGAGGATTAGGGGACACTACAAAACAGCTGTTCAAAAAAAGAAAAACTTTGAACAAGGGAGTCGAACATTTGACCTAAAGCTTTGCATTCGAACGCGTTATCTACACTACGACTCTTTTGTCATGCGCGCGCAAGCGTTATAAGAGAGGTCAAAAAAAAACCTTTTTGTCAAATTCCTTGCGATTCCGACCTATTTAAGCAAAAATGAATTCGAAAACAGCGTCAAATTCTGCATCGGATGGTTTAGATCTCATTTCGATTGGCTATTGATTGGCTATTGATTGGCTATTGATTGGCTATTGATTGGCCATTGATTGGCTATTGATTGGCTATTGATTGGCCATGGATTGGCTATTGATTGGCTATTGATTGGCCATTGATTGACCATCGATTGGCCATCGATTGGTCATTGATTGGGCATTGATTGGCCATTGATTGGCTATTGATTGGCCATGGATTGGCTATTGATTGGCTATTGATTGGCCATTGATTGACCATCGACTGGCCATCGATTGGTCATTGATTGGCCATTGATTGGCCATTGATTGGCTATTGATTGGCTATTGATTGGTCATCGATTGGCCATTGATTAGCCATTGATTGGCTATTGATTGGCCATGGATTGGCTATTGATTGGTCATTGATTGGCCATCAATTGGCCATCGATTGGCCATTGATTGGCCATCGATTGGTCATCGATTGGCCATTGATTGGCCATCGATTGGCCATTGATTGGCCATCGATTGGCCATTGATTGGCCATCGATTGGCCATCGATTGGTCATCGATTGGCCATCTTGTTTTTATGACCTTCTCTTGTTAGTTTGCACTCTTAAGAACAAAAATCTGAGAAGAAATTAAACTAGTGCTTAAAAAGCTTAAAAAAAAGTGTTAAACTTTGGAAAAAGCTTAAAGGAAAAAGCTCAAAAAATAGAAAAACACTTTTCTTTGTTGCTTTAATAGTCTCTCTTTTGATTTGAGGTTAAAAAAAAGCTGAATCGATTGCAGCAGAAAGGGTTTGTTTCTACACAAACCCTCACACAAAACTCACACAAAAAACAAAACACAAGAACAGTTTCAGTTCAGTGATTCATTCAAATAAAGATAAGACAAGATAGAGATATATTTTGATAATTAAAACTAATTTAACAAGTAAAATCATAAAAAAAACAATCAATTTCTGTTTTATTTCTGATTTTGTGACAAAATTTCGATTTTGAGAAAAAAAAAAAAAATTTCTTATTTTCTTGTTTCACAAGAAAGAAAAATACTTGTTAAAGATCTGAAAAAGTAAAAAAAAAACTCGTCTAAGTCTAAAAAATCGTCTTTAATGATTAGAAATTCGAAATTAGAAATGTTTTTATGCAATTATTGATTAGTTTTTATGAAATTTCTAAACGATTAAAAATAATGACTCATTGATTTATGGAAAACATGAAAATAAAGGAGATTTTACCTCAGATTTTTACCTCAAAAGAATCAAAAACAGGTTCAATTTCGAAATTGAAATGGATTTTTGAGGGAAAAAAAGAAATTCGATCGTTTAAGGTCATTCGAATCACTTCGGTTTTCGAGAAAATTTTGTCTTTTCGGCGAATACAAGATTTTCTGTATTTCCGGAGACTTCTTTTTGTTAGATTAGTTCCCAGGCGCCAAATTCAACGCAAATGTGTTAGATGTTGTGGAGAATGTTGAAGCCCTGAATCTTGGCTACATTTTGCTACCAAAAGCTTCCCGATTGAAGCTATACAACTCATTTTACAAGCAAAAAATGGCAGCATGCTGGTGAGGGATCAACTAGTCATTCGAGGGCTTGTAAAATGAGTTGGATAGCTTCAATCTGGAAGTTTTTGGTAGCAAAATGTAGCCAAGATTAAGGGCTTCAATATTTTATAGAACACTTAACGCATTAGAGTTGAATTTGGCGCTTGGGAGCTAATCTAACAAAATGAAGTCTCCGGAAAACTGAAGACTCTGTAGTTTGAGTGGAATGAAAATATATGCTGATTATTTGAGGCCAGGACATTGCTAGAGACCAGGACATTGCTAGAGGCCAGCACAATGATAGAGGCCAGGACATTGCTAGAGGCCAGGACATTGCTAGATCAGTTTTCCAAGTCAATGCAATGCTCGAAAACATGGATTTATGTACCGTAAAGGTACTGGATCTGTCTTTTACCCTTTTGCCTTCTTTCCTATGAAGCTAATGATGAACTTTTGAACTCTGGCTTCTGAAATTGTCTCAACTCTTAAGAAGACTTCTCTTATTGTCAGTTAACACATTGTCGGTTAAAGTTGCCATAAGAAATTACGAAAAAATTGGTCCATAGTACTATTACTAAATCAGGATTGATGTCAGGAATCGAATCTGTAGAGAAAAGGAGCCAGATCTGTAGAGAAAAGGAATCGAATCTGTACTGAATAGGAGCCAGATCTGTAGAGAAAAGGAACCAAATCTTTAGAGAAAAGGAACCGGCCGAATCTGTACCGAATAGGAGCCAGATCTGTACCGAAAAGCTACCAAATCTCTAGAGAAAAGGAGCCAAATCTGTAGAGAAAAGGAACCAAATCTTTAGAGAAAAGGAACCGGCCGAATCTGTACCGAATAGGAGCCAGATCTGTACCGAAAAGCTACCAAATCTGTAGAGAAAAGGAACCAAATCTGTACCGAAAGAAAAAGAAAAATCTTGGATTTTTCAAAGAATCGAAAGTAAATGTTAGGAAATGCTTATTTTTCATGAATTTTAAGTTAAATTACTATTCGAAATTGACTCCTAATAACCCGATCAAATTAGGAAATCAGCTAAATCTTTCCATTTCCTTTCATTGTCTTGGACAAGAGATCTTTAAACTCATCGTTTTTTTTGACAAATGCATGGAAACTCGAGGAACTAGATTTTGACAGGTTTCAAAAGAAAAGTTCTAAAATGTGGGTAGAGTAATTTGATTTGATAAAATAGAGTAATTTCTTCTAGAACAAAGGATAAATTTCGATTTTGGTAAACAAAATGTGCAAAGAAAACAATGAATTTGTTTTTGTTTGGATGATCGACTAGGGGAAAACTCGAAAACTGGATAAGGATCTATGAGGTCAATAAAACAGACTAAGTGCAAAAAGAAAAACACGTAGGTGATTGGTTTGTCTGTACAGAAAACCCTCATAATCTTATTATTTAAAAGAGGCTTTAAAAAAAGATGCTTTAAAAGAGATGCTTTTAAAAGAGATGCCTTTAAAAGGCCCCTTGCTAGCAAGAAAAGGTACAATATGGTGGCTTAGTGGATGGCTCATTAGACTTGCAACCCACGCATTAGACTTGGACCCACGCGTTAGACTTGCACCACGCATTAGACTTGCACCCACGCATTAGACTTGCGCAGGGGTTCGGTTCAGCTTCTTTGATCCAGCTTCCTGATCCAGCTTCCTGATCCAGCTTCCCTGATCCAGCTTCTCTGATCCAGCTTGATCCAGCTTCCTGATCCAGCTTCCCTGATCCAGCTTTCTGATCCAGCTTCTCTGATCCAGCTTCCCTGATCCAGCTTCCTGACCAGCTTCCTCTGATCCAACTTCTCTGATCCAGCTTTTTCTTTTTTTTTTCTTTTCCAAATAATTACATTATAGAGGTTTACAAAGTAGGAATTGAAATAAAAATAAATAAATAATGAGACAGTGAAAATAACCAAAAGCTCTTGCAAAATATAGTTTCCAGTAATGGTGGAATTCCAAAAAATAGGTTAAGCTTGAAGAAATATTCAAGAACGAACAAAATGTAATGATTGATTGATTGATTGATTGATGATTGATTGATAAAATGATTGATTCGACCCCAAATTGGACACCTGGTATGGCCAGAGAGAAAGAACATCGTTCCAGCTGTGCCAGCCAAGGTAGACAAGCTAAAGTCTAGATCAGGTCCAGTTCTGGCCCCTGTACTCCACCAAATCAGAGCATTAAACATTAAACATTAA